TGCAGACTTAAGCAGGTCGAAGACCAGTCCGTCTTTACGAGGGATGCTGGGAATTGTGGATGCAGGTGGGGCACTGGCTTTAAGAGAGTCGCCCATGCTCTACCAAAGACTCTCCTACGTTCTTTGAAGGACACTAGGACAGTTCAAATGGCACGGCACCGTGTTTGCGAAGTAGGCACGGTCTTTCCCTGTGGCCACTCTGCAGTTGAGACTCAGCTGCTTCGACACCTGGGCGAATTCAAGATGTTGGCAAAGCTGACCATTTCTGGGGGCCTTGAGGTCGACACCGGCGCCTGCGACCCCAACAAATCCATCATTCCCTTCTGTGCAGTGTCCCAGAGAATCAGACATCAGAAATCTGACTTGCCTCTTGCAGGGGATGGGGGCTTGGCCTGAGTTCCCCTCAAACCCGAAAATGATCACTATTCAAGAGAAGATATTTCTCAGTGGAGCACCTCGAGGGAGACATCACATGTTCCCAGCAAGATCTGGTCAGTCAGGAGTCAAGACGTGAAGGACCCTCCGTTTGGGGAAGAGGGACAGTTGTGTGGGCTTTGTTCTGGGAGTGTTTGCCACTGCCTCCCAGCCCGGCTCGCTTCCTAAAGCCAGGCTGAGCCCAAAAGGAGGTCCGCAAAAGCAAGAGGGGGGGGATTCCGCAGAGCTTTGCTGCATCCCTAGTCAGTAGCAAGAGCCAAGGGCCAGCAACCCAGCTCCCTCCGCCTCGCCCAGGAATTGCAGCTGAGGAGGGCAGGGGATGCCCAGCCGAAGGGTCCTCTCTGGTCCAGAATTCTGTTCCCATAGCGACCGAGCAGCTGCCACAAGCAGCATGTGAGTGCGACAGCCGCCTCACCCATATTCCCCAGCAACTGGTGCTCAGCGACCGGCTGCTTGTGACCCTGAAGGCAATCAGTCGTCACCAGGACTCGTAGCCATGGAGAGCCACCCCCTCCAAGGACGAGTTCAGTCCCTTTCCAATGGCCCTCATGAGATGTTGAGTGAATTCCATCCTTCACCTGCCCGCTGCACGTTGAGCAAAATGGCCCAACCGCAGTCCCTGGAGGGGGCAGACACGGGGTCAACACTGCCACTGCCGTGGCTTGTGGCAGCATGGATTCCACCCCCCCCACCTCCCCACCTCCTCCTCCTCCTCCTCCTCTTATTCTAAACGTCGTGTCGTAGCTGGCGGTCTGGCTCAACGTGGACACGATGGCAAATATTCGTGCTGTTATCCATTTAACATATATTATCCTGCTCAGCAACAAAATAGCGGTCACTTCCCAGCAGCTGTCGGGGGCAGCAGACGCAAACTCGATTTGGTTCCTGGAGTTCTGATGCAACTATGACTTACGTGGGTTTAATACGCAGAGCCGTGTGTCCTCGGAGTTTTTGTCTTTTTTTGTCAGTGTCGGCAGAGTTTTTGTTGGCTTGCCCCCACTTCTCACGTTGCCGGAAGAGAGAAGCAGCTGTGAAGCACGGCATGAGGGAGGAGGCGCTCGCTGGCCACTAGGCTTGCTGGCCATGGGCTGCCTCCTTCACCGGCCCGGCTGCACACACCAGCTGCCGAGGAGCCTGGGCAGGAGGAGGCCTTGCACCCACCCGTCCTGCTGGAGGGATCCTGGAGGCAGCTGGTTTATTTATTCATTTATTTTTGCATTTATATGCCACCCATACTCCAAATGAAGTCTCTGGGTGGCTGGCAATATTTAAAATAATGCCCTCATTAAAAACAATAAAATAATCATTAAAACGATTAAAATAAAAACAGTCAACTTTGCTGCTGTGTGTATGGAATACAGGGCTGGATGGACCTTGGGCTTTTCTTGCATTCTTGTGGTGGTAAGAAGGGATGGAGAAGAGGGTAAGGGGGGGAATGTCGCTTCTGTGTTCAGCCATGAAAGTAGTACTCAGGCCTGCTAAAAGGGGAGCTCCCGGAGAACGAGTCTAGGGTCTAAGATTGCCAAGCTGCACAATTGTCGCTAGCAAAGGTACGTGCTGAATTTCAGCTTTGTGGCTCCCTGCAAACAAGGACTCGTTCATCAGTGGGTGTGTTTGGTGCGTTGCCTGGCCTTTTAAAGATCTCTTTGTTAAAATGCCCCCCATCTATGTACTTGCATAAATGGGCCGATTATGGGTGCCATTCCTGGCATCATCTGAGAAAGGGTGCCAGGAAAGCTTCTGCCCCAGTGCCAGTTTGTATGTGCCCACCGCTTGGCTTGGTTTCCGTTGCACTGTTACGATCCTGCTGCATTAACTGCATGGAGCAGCCCATATTCCAAGCCAGGGTGTGTGCCTCCTGCGGTCAGTGCTGAAGGCTCTTCTTTGGGTGCCCACGCTGAATCCCTGTCCTTGGTTTGGCATCCCCAGGGAAGCTTAGCCCGTGTCTGGAAGAGCGGTGGAGAGTGTCAGCTCAAATCTGGCTGACCTGGGACCCTTTTGGAGATCTCCAGATGGACAGAGCCCCTTCCCGGATTCCTGACTCCCCCATTGGAGTGCCTTTCCTAAGACTTAGCTGCTGCCTGGAAGCTCCAGAAGCGATAACAGTCAAGTCGGTTTGCTCTTTTGGCCCTGCTCCCTGTGGCCCTGCCCATCGTTGGAAGGTGGTCCCTGAGGGCTTTCCTGGGATGGAACTTGGCTCTTGAACTGGACGGGCAGTGCCTGGAACGGTGACCCATGCGCTGGTAACCTCTCAGTTGGACTATTGCAATGCGCTCTGCGTGGGGCTGCCCTTGAAGACGGTCTGGATACTTCAATTGGCCCAGAATGGAGCTGCCGGGTTATTAATCGGGACCGGCAGATACTCCCATATCACGCCGGTCCTATATCATCTACACTGGCTGCCAATTGAAGCCTGGGCCCAATTTAAGGTGCTGGGGATGACCTATAAAGCCCCAAATGGCTTGGGTCCTGGATACCTGAAGGAGCACCTCCTCCCCTATTTGCCCTCCCGCCCCTTCGGATCTGAGGCAGAGGCCCTCCTCCGGGAGCCCTCCTTGAAGGAGATTAGGAGGGTGGCTGCCCGGAGGAGGGCCTTTTCAGTGGTGGCACCCAGACTGTGGAACACGCTCCCCAGGGAGGTTCGCCTGGTGCCGTCACTTTATTCTTTGCGGCATCAGGCGACGAGCGCTTTATTTTCCCAATATTTTAACAGTTAATTGATTTTATCCTTGTTTTTACTACCATTTATTAGATGCGCTGTGTTGTATGTTGTGTGTTGTAGATGGTTGCTTTGTTTTTTGTTTTGTTTTTTGTACACCGTCCAGAGACTTTTAGTATAGGACAGCATATAAAAACTTTAAATAAAATAAAATATAAAAACTAGAACGCTGCCCCACCCCAGCTCCTGGTTTTGGATCAAGGACTGGGGCTTCCATTTTACCAGAATTTTTAAGAACAATTAATCCCGAGCGGATTGTTTTTGCCTTGCTGTTATTCATTTAGCTATTTAGCTATTTATTTTTAATCTGGACTTTGTCTTGTAGGGAGCCACAAGGAGTTTATATAATCCTCCTCCTCTCCGTTTGTTCCTTACAACATCCCTGTGCAGTAGGTCAGGCTGACAGTCAGTGACCAGCCCAAAGCCCCTCAGCAAGCTTTGTGGCCAAACGGGGTTAGAACTCGGCCCTCCCAAGACCAATGCGCAAACCGTATCATTGCAAAATCAATACATAGTCTTCTAAGATGCCACTTCATTGTATTGTTTGAATTCTTATTGTAACTCAGTCTGCCTTGGACAATTTCATTTGAAGGCTGAGCTTAAAAAATAGATGAAACTCAGAAAATATAGCAAGTATGATCACCTAAATATGGGAAAATCAATAATAAAACTCTTTGCATGAGCTATTTTTCAGGAATTCCAGAACAAAGACTCCCGTCCACATTTCCCGGCCACTGCAGCCATCTTCCTGGCCACTAGTTTCCAGAGAGGCCTTTATTCCGTTGCGCCATGACCGGTTTCATAATGGTTCTCAAATCTTTCCCTAGCCACTAATTGGGGAGCGGGGGGGGGGGGGGGGATTGATGGTGATCTAGTCCTTCTGCTGATCTCTGTGCATTTGGACAGTTTGAGCTAATGCATCGTTTTGCAGGCATATGTTTAGTTGCCGGGGGGAAAGGGGGGCCGGCGTCCTCCATGCTGCTCTGCCAATCACACAGGCTAATGCTTTAAATATCACTTTTAATACTAATGTCAGATTATTTAAAAAAACCCAACAACAACCCTAATCCATTCTGCTGATTGGAACCAGGAGAAGGATAAGAGGACTTCTATCCATGCATTAACACGTTCCGTGGAGTGCAAACCCACTTTATTCTGACTAAAACGTAAGGTTGGGAACTAATACAATCTGCACTCTGCGGAGAGTTTTCAGACCATCTCTTGATGCGCACGCCCCTTCGTGGGATTCTTAATCGGGCCCAGTCACTGTGCCGCCGGTGAGCCACACGGTAAACAAGAAGCAAGTGTGACGTGTCTCACATTTGCTCTTAGGCTACCCCCCATGTGCTTTTAAAAACATTTTTCCAATGTTTAAATAGAAACAGAAAGGGCGAGGGGGGGACTAAGAAGCACTCAGCCAAAAGCAGCTTTGCAGAAATGTGTTGGAAGAGACTAAAATAAAAACATTTCGAAAGTAAGCTACCCAAATCTCTCAAAGATGGACAGATAAAGGAAGGGGGCACTTTGAAGTCCAGATGCTTGGGCCCACTTTCCCACCCCGCAGATGTAGGGGTTTGCACGAGGATGAAACCTGTTCCGGATCAGGCGGATGGCGGGGCGGCTTCCTGCTGAGCACCGCACAGGGGCGCCCTTGACGTGGGGCAGGTACGCGCCGCACTTGGACGCATGTGGGTACCAGGGTCTCGGAGGGCAAGGCACCTTCCACGGAGCCGTCCCTCTGGGGGTTCACCTTCCCGCCACGCTTATCGCCATCTCGGCTGCTCCTCGGCCTCTTTCTCATCTTTGCCATTGCCAGGTTATCTCCTGCCCCTTCCTCCCCGCTCACCTCCGCCGCTGCCTGGCGAGAGGCGGGCTGCAAGGGCGGAGAGGAGCAGAGACGCCGCATAGCTCTGGCCAGGAGGGCTGCCACGGGACCTTCCGATCACGCCTCTGAGCGCCGCCATCTTTGTGGGCACTGCCCGCCCCATGGGCCCCTGCTCAGTCGCTGGACCTCCTCCATCTTCCCCCTCCAAAGCTTCCACTCGTTGGCAGGCGGAGTAACCAGGCTGCAGCACCTCCGTTCTCTGGGCCAGAGCGAGAGGCCGGGGAGCAGGAAGGTGGCTGTGGGAGGCCCGCCCAGGGGCCCCGTGACGGAGCCCTGAGGGACCATGGCTGCTGCCAGGTGCCCAGCCAGCCCTGCCCTTCCCGCTCGGAGCAGGACCCGTCACCTGCACTGGCGAGAGGACCGGCCCGGGATGCTACGGAGCCAGTCCTAGCCCCACCGCAAGCCTGGGGGTCACTCGCTCACTCTCAGCCTAGCCTATCTCGCAGAGTGGTTGTGAGGGTAGGACCGGGAGGAGGAAGAGGGACCTGTGTGCCTCCCAGAAGCAAAAACGGCGGGGAAGAACTGCCACGGAGAGCATCAAAGGAATCCGACGCCCTGGCTGCGCAGAGCAAGCCAGACACTTGATCCGGTTGGGATGCTGTCCGGAAGAGACAGGTGGTGAGGGCTGCAAATTTTCCAGGATCCTGGGCTGCCAGGAGTGCTGTCCGGCAGGATCTAGGCCTGAGGCCGGGCCTAAGAGGCTAAGGGGCCACCTGGCCTCTTCCTGGAGCTCAGCAGGGCCCAGATGCAGAACAAGCCCGGCTGTGTCCCGCGAACGAGCCCAAGCGAACGAGCCCAAGCCTCCATTGCTGGACTTTGGGGCTGTGAGTCCGAGTTCCTTGCGAGCCTGTGGAGTGTTCGCACGGGTGTCTGCTAGCAAACAAGCCCACGTGAAACGCTGCACAAGGAGAAGCTGGCGAGGAAGTCATTCCAGAGCACTTGAACCCACGGACACGCCATGAAGCGGGTTGGGGGAAGGTGTAGGAGGGACAAGAGGAAGGAATTCTTGACGCAATGCACAGCTGAACTATGGGATTCGCTGACACGGAAATAGTGAATCCGGGAGGCTCTCTGTGGCCACTAGGCTTGCTGGCCATGGGCTCCCTCCTTCGCCAGGCTGGCCAGTTGCAGAGGAGCTGGGCAGGCGAGGCCTTGCACCCATCCTGCTGGAGGGATCCTGCGGGCAGCTGGTTTGCCGCTCTGTGCACAGAGAGCTGGACTAGACGGACCTTGGTTCTGATCCAGCAGGGTGTTTCTCCTGTTCTCACATTCTTATCCCTCTCCCACACACCTGCGTTGCGGCACGTGCATTTGTGGCGCACGTGTGGAGAAGAAGGTTGCCAGTTGCACAAAGGCAGTTCCACAAGCCTGTGCAGATTTTCTCTCGGCTCAGCTCTCCTCCGAAGCAAGGGCTCGGGACGAGGGGCAACCAGACGTGCAGACAAGGGCCGGATTCTGGGAATGATCGTCGCATCCCTACCTGCTGCTCTGCTAGCTGAGGGGCTTCATTCTTCGAAGGCACGGGGCAAGCTCTGATCCCCGCCGCCCGCAGGAGAAGCCTTGGCCTTCTCCGTGACCCCGATCAGAGACGAGAGCACAGCTGCCCTTGCGCATTTCATGGCAGCCCCGTGCGGATGGAAGAGCGTCAACTCTTGAACCTGAGCCCGGGGGTGAGATGGCAGGGAGGGGCTTCATGCCAGACCTGGAAACTTTACAGGCTGGATGGAGGACCCCGGAGGGTCCACAGGCTAGAGGTTCCCCAACTGCACGTCACCCCCTGCAATTAAAGGCCAGTGGGAAAGACCTTGAGCAGCTAAGGGTTCGAAAGAGTCAGCACGGTTGCCTGCATGCTCCTTTGAGGGCTTCCTGGAAGCATCCAGTTGGCTGTTCCATGCAGCACGGTGCTGGACTGAAGGACAGACGTGCTTTAGAACATGCCAAATACCCTGTGGAATAAAATGACAGGGTCCCAGGAAGTTGAAAGAAATGTATAGCTTTATTCCAAGGAGTTTTTGACTCGAAGTTGTCATCTTCTCCTCCTCCCCTTTCCCTCTTCCCCCTTCGTCTCCATCTCCGTCATGTTCTCCTCCTTCTTTTCCACCATGTTCTCCTTCTCCACCATATTTTCCGCCTCCTCCTCCTCCTCCTCAGGCAGTCAGTATATTATTCTCTCACATTATTAAAAGTAGAGATAGAAAGGGCTGCTTCTTGGAATAAAACTACCAGCTTTTTTCAAGATCCTGGGACATGGTTGATTTGTTCCATTTCTGAACTAGGTAGATTTTGCCCAAAATTTCCAGGGGCTTGTTATGCTCTCATGAAAAATGGCAGGGCTGCCTGAAGCCCTTGAGAGAGGCTGCCAGTCAGTGTGGACAAAGCAAAGCCAGACAGACTTGGCTGAAAGTCGATGCATGCATTTAACACCGCTGGTTGCTTCCACCTAAGCCCTGGCTAGCTGCCAGATCCTATTTTTACTGTTTTTTTTTTAATGTTTGGTTTTTTCCTCCTAGGGTTTATTCTCATCTGCGCCATCACTGTTCTTACCAAAAGGAAAACCCATCAGTGAAACATGCAATTGACTCTCCTGCCCTTGCTGTCCTGCTTTTTCCAAATACCTGGAGCGCACCTGAGTCGGGCTTTTGGACCTTTCAGGCCTGTGCCCATATTTCTTTGTTTTTGGGCTGCCATCTTGTCTCTTGGCATTCACTGGGAGCAAGTCCCCCTCCCATGTATTATCCCATCCTGAAAAGGGAACAGCAGAAATCAGACAAAAGGGTGGCCTTTGGGTGCGGCCATGGGATGGGGGAGGAATTGTGTCACAGATCTGAAATTTGGTGGGGGAAGTTGACAAATTTGAAAGTGGATACTGTAAGCAGACCAGGGAATGTTGAAATGAAAGGAGGCCAGAAGCTAATTATATGGAAATATTTCTATTTGCACATTTCACTGGAAGGCAAAGTGAAGTATGGAACTAATATCTGCACAACTGACAAGAATATTAAGTTTTCCATCACTTTCCTCCCGCCTGACTCCCTTTCTCAGCATGCTTCTCTGTCCAAGTTCCTATTAAGGTGAGCACAGATCCAAACACATTAATGAGCTGCATTTTAGATATGATAAGAATTTAGTGGCTGGTGTTAATTAAACTACAAAACAAGTCCTCTTGCTGTGATTTGCATTCCAAGTTGGAGCAATTAATTCGCTCACTTAAACTGATCAAGATTTAATTACCATCACTCTGTGCAATTACTCCATAATTAAAGTAATTTGGTTCTTTCCACTTGCTGACATTGTCACTGAACAGCCATTCAGGGTACCAAAATAAGTGATAATTAACTGAAAGAGCTTGCCCACGGCAGCTCATTCCCCTCTCTCTTTTTCGCTCTCATTCTTTCTCTTTAACCTCCGGCTGCTTCCAGAATATATCAGGAACTCTCTGGGGAAGGTTTCCTTGGACCTGGCACCCACCCCCAGTCTTGTCCTGTTGGACTACAACTCCCATCATGCAGAGCCAAATTGCCCTGCTGGCTGGGGGTGGTGGGAACTGTATCAGCCACAACCAGAGGGCGCCAAACTGGGGAAGAGGCTGCTATAGAGCCTACGTCTAAACTTAATTTTGAACTGCTGGGCCACTTCAAATGGCAGTTGAGGCATATTTATTTTTATTTATTTATTTAAAACTTTTATATGCCGTCACCACATGTCTCAGCATCTCATGATGGCTTACAACATATGAGGTGCGCACATAGTTAAACGCAAAACCCTTGCACTCTGAAAGCTAGCATCTCAGGAAGAGCACTAGGCTGGGCCTGGGGTTGGCAAAAGGATCGGTTCTGCTGTGTTCTGCACTCGTTTAAAAAAAAAATGAAATTTCATTCCATTTCATTTATCACTTTTCTATGCTGCCCAATTGCTGAAGCTCTCTGGGTGTTTTGCAAAGATAATACACTTAAAATGCATTATAAAAATAAGATGCATGCAAACAGATATACAGACAGCAGAGTAACAGAGAGAGATCTGAAAACGTCTAGGGACTGTACTTCTTGTTTTTTAACATGGAGGAGGATTTATTTATGCATGTCTCCAACTGCAGTTTGAAGTGGTACAGCCCAGACACTAATTTCTACCTCCATGAGGTCTGACTGCTCTACCAAATTGCCTTCATGTTCTGGCTCTAGTTGGGTTAGCAACTTCCTCATACTGAGAGTCCGTAATTTTATTTATTTATTTATTTATTTTTCAATTTATATCCTGCCTTTTTCCTACAAAGGGCTCAAGGCAGCTTACATCATCTCTCCTCCTCCATCTTATCCCCACAACAACAACCCTGTGAGGAAGGTTGGACTGAGAGTCTGTGACTGGCACAAAGCCACCCAGTTGGCTCCATGGTGGAGTGAGGACTAGAACCCGGATCATCTGAGTCCCAGTCCCATGCTCTTAACCACTACACCACACTGGCTCTGCCTATCAACCACTCCTGGACTGAGCAAAACGCACGAGTGACCCAAGCATCTTCCACCCACCTGAGATCTCCTATATTTCTATTTAAAATACGATTATTTCTCAATGCTTGTTTTGTTTATTTAATTCATTTCTATACTGCCCAACAGCTGGAGCTCTCTGGGCCAGTCCCATGATTCTCTCCACACAGCAATGAGCTTGCTTGAATTTCAGGCAAATCAGCATTCTCCCTTGTCCTCTGCTTTGGTGACGCACGTCCTCATTTTGCATGGATCACAAGTAGCCACGGTCCCTGATTCACAGGTTCCGAGGCCTCCAAATCCATCGACAGCCCTGGTTCTTTGGGTCTCGGCGTCCCGCTGTGTCTACGATGGCTTGCAAGGAGGCACACACAGGAAAAGCTATCACCTACGAAGCCCTGAACAGCTTGGGACCTGGTTACCTAAAGGAGTGCCTGCGTCCATATGCGCCCTCCCGCCCCTTGAGCTCCTTCCGTGAAAGATACTAGGAGGGTGAGCACCCGGAGCAGGGCCTTCTCTGCAGTGGCGCCCCACCTATGGAATGCGCTCCCCAGAGAGGCCCGCCTGGCATCGTCGTTATTTGTTTTTCAGCACCAGG